TGTTAAGAAGAAATCATTGCGGACATATCTATACAGGTCACTTACAGAACTATTTTTTATTATTTAGTAACAAAATATTCTATGGCCTTTGCTGTGGTCCAAATTTCAAACCGTCTGTGCACTAAATAGATGTCTGTGACTGACTGTGCGTCTAGATCGATTTCATGGTTTTCGTATAAAAGATAGACAGACAGAGTTACTTTCACAATTATAATATTGTATTAAATGTTATAGATAGCGTGTTTAGAATTTAACAATGATTTCATTTATATAAGAAGCTAATTATAAATATTTAAGGCTTTATAGATTATGTTCTAAATATAAGGGTACGTTACGGACTTAAATGAATGGATTTTAAACTTTGTATTCAAAACTCTTCAACATGCTAGATGTTTAAGTTAAAATCCAATTTGCTTAATTTTTTATTTCAAACAAATAAATAATGATTGAAAAGGAACATTATCATTTATGCAAAAGAGGTAGTCAAGATGATTTTTTCCAAGTCTATTCACTTTTTCGTCAAATAACATTTCTGGTTTTTATTATTATATTATTAAGTTTAATGTACTTTTAATTTTGCCACGAATAATGATAGTTCGATGTCGATAATCTAATAGAAAAGTGAATGATAATGCATCATTCACTTTTTGCCTTCACATTAAATTTATTTACAAAGATAGTTGATTTTAGAAAATATCGAATGTTTCTAAATGCCATTACCACACATTTTTACCTCCAGAATGTGTTGGCTGAAAATAATGTGTAAAATATACTGCAACAATATAAATTTTTAAAGTTTATAAACTAATGACGTCATGTGTTCTGTATTAAGTTTGGCGCCTAATAATGTGATTGTCTTTGTTAACGTCATCTAGGAGAAAAAAATATTGTGTTATACATCGAGTTGATAAGTTTATTATTTCTATCACGTGAGATTTAATTATGGGAAATACATACATATGGACTCAATAATGAACCAATCTGAAAGTGTGATATCCAGGACAAAATTTAACATATCAAAAATAACGCTACATAAATATATAACCTCATATTTTTTTTACATAAATAAGCCCATAAGTCATGTCCTATAAGGAATTGTCAGAAATATATAACACCATTTACATAAACCGGTAATAAAGTATAAATGAAATATAAATAAATGAGCAGTTGTTCATTATAATATTTCTTTAATATATCGATTCCTACTATAAATATGACATAGTATCTTGTAGCACGAAAACAGAGGTTGAAGTAAAAGATACCAACATGCGTTTAAATAAAATTTTATCAGAAAACTCAAGGCTAATAACTGTTAGACCTGCTAGAAAAAAATCAATATGCCTTTATTTCTGAACTGTATCCAAATTTATGATTCCATTTTTTAGCTCCCAGCCGATTATAAAGTTGTTTTCTTATAGAAAAAAATGGCGGAGAATTAAAATATAATGTTGTTTTGAAGGCAACAGTTCATTAAAATGATGGTCACGTGTGTAAATTCACTCCAACCATGATGGAGTTCCCTTCTTGTTCATAATTTGCATTAATGTTTTTAAAGTAACAACTTCTATAATTATATCTTCTACGAGGGTTCCTATAATGAATATAAAATATCACCCATGTTTTATCAAAAGAGTTATGGAAAAGAAACAACAAGATTGTCCCGTAAGACACGTCTAGAAGTAGTATTTGAAGTTATTAGATCCCTAAAACTCGTAAACAATTCAAAGAGAATAAAGATATTAGTCGTAGTTCAAGTGATATTCTTAGGTTTTGTGTATCACTTTAATCAGAGCGTAACAAATGGATCTTATTCACTACATAGTATTAAACAAGTCACTTGCTTTCTCTGTCCCTATATCTGTATGTATGCTTAAATCTTTAAAACTACGCCACGGATTTTCATGCGTTTTTTGTTAATAGATAGAATGTTTGTGAAAGGAAGTCTTATATGTATAATAATATCCATTAAATAGCAGAGAAATATTATTTTTGAGGTTTCTAATGAGATGTCGTAAATAATTACAATTTTTCGCTTTCATTGCAAACGCAAGCTAAACCATACGAGATTGATCAAAATAATGTATTATACACATTGAAAAGGTCTAAAAAATGCGCGAGGGTATTTATCTATATCTTATAGTTATCCCACAATGATACTTTTCGTCATTTACTCGTAACGAAAATAATGGTTAATTTTCGAAGCGATTTCAACCACTACAGCATTCATCCTTATCCAATTGATACTTTTATTACATTGTTTATTTAATCTAGATCTATATAATCTTTACAGTATATGATTTAAATTTTAAAACCGTGAGAATCCGGAGCGGGCCGGAATATTTTTATTTACAACGTTTCCAGTTTTTCTGTAGTGTATTTAGTATTAGCATTGCATCCGTACGAAGTCGGGACTGGTCGCTAGTTTTATCATAAATCAACAAGATTTATCAAATTCGGGTTTTCTCGACGCAATGTTCAAAATTATGTTTTAACTCATTCTATAAATAATCATAGCATTCCACATATTCAGTTTGAATGAAGATAAAGCTTAAATAAAATAATTGTCAAACACAGTTCATACATATATTATTAGATAAATTTATATGTTTAGTGTAAATAAAAGAAGTGGTAAGCATATCAAAGTTTCACTGTGCCATAAGTATTACAATGATTAAATGGAATTTAAATCAGCGACTGAGGTATTCGTAAATATGAAACCTCATTTAAATATTTCAATAAACCTTCCATAATGATTTTTGAATATGTTTCTAAGTCTGCCTTCATGCTTATCGCTTCCACAGCTGTATGTTTTACATATATTGAGGAGATTTGAGAGTACACTTGTTTTATTTTGGGTTACATTTAATATACATTGAAAATACGGACTGCGTATCTAGTCACTATATTTATTTCAAGTTTCATAAACTTAAGTATTATATGAATGGAATACAGACTGTTGTTAATTTAATCATAGTTTATTCATATAAACTATGGATTTTTAACGTCTGAAAGTAGTTTTTTTCTCAAAGTAACGATTTCAAGTTGGTCTAAGAATAAATTCGATAAAAATGTTAATCTATGTATGATGTTGATAAAGGGAAATAAAAAGACCCAACATAGAAGCAGTATATCTGTTTTCTTTATATTTGGAATTAAACATAAATAAATTTCTGAACTGAATTATATAGGGTGGCAACCGGAGATTCCAGGAAAACTACGAAACTTCCTTATATGTATATTGTAATAAGAATTACATATCAAAACTTATAACCTATACCTAAGACTACATGATTGCCCCGATGTTAAGATAGCAATGCCATTCCCTAGCTTTTGTGGTATCAGGAAACTTCTGGTTCATACGGCTTGGTGTTTATATTTTATGATATTTTATCTGTATAATGAAATTGCCGGAGATGTTCATTTATTTCTTATTATGTAGGTACGTAACAACTGTAACGATGTTTGTAAGGAAACGTAATAATAATTTTCATTTTCATTTAAAATTTATATCTATAAATACGTTTTTCAGAAATTAACTTATTCTTTTGTTGTGATTTTGTAACATATTTTATTTATCATTTCAATCTAATAGTCATAAAAGTTATACAAACATGAAATTTAATAAACTAGATTATATGTATATATACATATAAGATGGCCATCTGTAAGCATATGTATATTTTAATGAAAATTCTCACTTGAATGAACATGAATTTTAGTGCTATTTTGGAGACAAACACTTACATTTACCCGTTCAGTTTCTTAATATAAATTCAGAACAATACGATCTCTTTTTGGAAAATAAATTGAGATTCAAATTAAATTATCACTTAAAAATAGAGTTCACAATTTTTAATACAGACAATTTTAAGACAGTGGATATTTATTCCCAAGTTTTATATTCACTCTTTGTTACAGTATTCAAAATAATAATAGTCAATACATAATTTAATATTAACAGTACCCTTAGTCCAAATTAAAACATCATGAATACAGTGTCGATACTGGTTTGTTTAATTTCTTTAACATATGTATCAATGTATTCATACATTCAAGCTAAACTGACTGTTTTTTTTTCACAAATATTTCTGTACATGTATATTATAACAGATAGTAATAAGTGGTTGCGGGTTCGGTTCCTGGTCGTGTTGACGAATATTTTATTCTGTATTTTCTATTACAATTTTAATTTATATAGTTCCCTATTGCTTATATGTTGATATTAAAAGAAATTATGAAAAGAATTTAAAATAATAAATTATGTTGTAATATTTTTTATTATGTTGTGTAATTATCTCTTATACAAATTAATTAGGAGAGTGAAGTAGGACCAGGATGTTTTGAGAATCTGAAAATAATGAATAAGATGATATTATTCAAAGAGATTCAAATATTTCAACGACACTACACAAAAAATGTCGATTATATATTTTTTTAACATTTTAAGTAAAACTATCAAAGTGAAATTCAGTATCGCAATTTTAATTTTCATCTTTGTTTTGTATGTCGCTATGTAAAGAATATCGTAGTGGCGGTAAAAAGGCACTCGGTTCCAATCACCTCAAGTTACATGACTTGATAATATAAAATGAGTATTTTTACTTATAAATACGCGTAATAAATGATAATAAATCTTATGCTCAGTTTTTAACATACATTTATATGTTCCAAATAAAATGATTATGTAAAGTTTAAATTAGTGATCGAGAATTATGTACGTAGATCATGCGTGGAAAAAATCGAGGAAAATGAAAATTCTTTCTAGGAGTATTTATACCTGACATGTAGATATTCCCTCCAGCTCTCCATGACCTCAGGAATGAACTCAGTGAAGCGTTACCCTGTGATACTGAAACTTACCGTTGAGTAACATTCCATTGACACTGTTGAAAATCCAAACGTTGTTATGTGCACTCGCTTCTGGGATCTGAAATATTTAACAAATGTTTATTACAGTAAAATGTTGATAATAATAATGTTGGGATCACAATAATGTTACTTTACCTGTGGATCATAATCAGTATAGATTTCTTTATGTTATTCGATGAAACATACTAACCGCTGTTGTATAGAGCCTCCCCAACACCGGCGCTCTGAAAATAGCGAACGACTATTATTACTTTATTCACTATACATTTTATTAATATAAACATATGAATAATAAAACAAACAAACCGTGTCGACCAAATGTTGTCCGTACCAACAGAGTATCCATATTTGAGAAATGGCGGTTATGAAGAATAATTTGTATATAAACTCATTCCATTTTTCAACGAACTGAAAAACAATAAACGATGAAGCGATAAAGTAATAGAATTAAAGGCCATATTAATTTAAAGATATAAATTATAAAATAAAATATCAGAGGAGTGCTTAAACGTTTCAAAATGACAAAGATATGCATCTTCGATAATTTTTCTATGAGTTTTAGAATTTTAAAAGGGTCTTTCACGTTGTTTTTGAATTTGGATTCAGTTTTCCCCCAAAACAAGCCCAACCCCAAAAACTACCCCAAATAATAATAGGTAACCCCAACTCGATCGGCCATTCGGTTCCCGAGATCATCTTCCTAGATAAATGACTTAAGTCACCAGTACACGTTCCGCTCGCTTCACTCAATAAATTAATATATAACGTATGTTTTTTAATCATGATCTTTATACTCACCGCGCAGCAAAATACAGAAGCATATAATTCCATAATTAAACAGCTCCATAGCTGTTTAGGAAATTCACAAGGAGTGAAAACGAATACATGCTCTCAACGTCACTTGACAATCTGTAAAAAAAGTACAAAGTTAAAGTGTTAAATAAAAATGACAAAAATTATTAAGTCTGCTTTAAAACATTACTCAGGATTATATTCTTACTACAGTCCACAAAAGTTTGGAATTCTCATTAAAATATTTGCTTTAACTGGACTTTCAACAATAGTAATTTCAAAAGAACTCAAAAGTCTGTTGTTTTTGAGGTAATAAAAACAGATCCTTTTATTAAACGCCAAATATTAAATAATGTAGCTTAAAGGTATGTCTTCTTCTTCTACCTGACAATTTCCCAGATTGAGCCAGGGTCTTCCTTACATGTTATGAATAGTTTTGGCTAATTGTTTTTTACGACCGGCCGCCACTTTGGGAATGCATTGTAGCTTAAAGGTATGTATATGTACAATATATATCTTGATTTATTTGTGTGATAGTTTGACAGATTTACAAATAAAGTGCTATGAAGATTTCAAAATGGCTTAATAATTTAACTTTAACTTATTTTGATAAAAAGATATGTACGAGATTTCTAGTTTATTGTAATATTTCGAAATATTATTATTTATGGCCTATGTTTGTGTAAAGTTCATACCATATGTAACTACTGTCAACAACGAATATGTTTATTTATAAATACTTTACCGAATCAAAGATCTGTGTCTTTTAATAATTTCTTCAAGTTCTTCCTCTTTCACTTTGCTACTGTTGGTTGATGTGTCCTGATTCGGATTATTTAATAATTTTTCTTTATTATTACATCCTGGAATAAAAGTAACAAATTTAATAATAACAATCGATGATATAATTTACATTATTCATATTAATCCTATTAGTATTCAAATTGGGTCATTATTGAATTTAATTCAAATAACATTCACAAGCTTGCGTCACGTACAAATCAAGTATTAAAAAGTATTTCATGTGCTGTATTTCATGTTTCGAAGAAAATATAAACTTGCTAAAATCACCTAGTTGATACGACTCCGGCAGTTGTCCATCAACAGGAACGTAGAACATCTTTTTAATCCTGACAGCAAGTAAAGAGAACTGTGTGGTGATGTTACTGAGGAAGGAGAAGAATAAGAGATCTCCAGCTAACATGAAGGCTGCAGAGAGGAAACCTGGAATAATAATGAGTTAAAAATATTAAGTTAAATAGTTAATAATAATGATATATTCTTACAGATCAGCACTTACTATTACAATTGAATTAGAACAAGGACTACACATGACTTATTACATATAGGATGTTTTTAGGTCGATGTTAAGATGAACATATAAAATACTTACAATGTGAGTTCTGCACAATCACCACGACTTCAAATATGACTTTCTGGTAAGGATCGAATGGTAGCCAGTAGAAGAAAGGCAATATACGAGGCGCCTCGATACCGAACAGAGGCTTTATAAGGTTGACGATAGATGGCAGGGTGAAGATTAGACCCAATATGGAATTACACGAGAAGTAAGCTGGGGAGATGTTATATAACGTGTGTATGGAAATATAAAGTTAATATTAATTAATATAACATTTATTACTATCATTAAAGTCAGTAGGAACTTATAAAATACAGGATTTGAACAAATGGAATTTCAGAGAGTAACAATTTCTACATCTTAAACATTATTTTGTGAAGTAAGTTTCTAAGTTTGTGGTTAAGTTTTCTTGTAAAGTTTATATATTTCTCACCTTTAGTAACCAGTCTCAGTCTCTTCAAGTCCTTGTTTATAATAGTTTGTTCTTCATCAGTGACGTTGTCTCTCGGCCACATTTCTCTCAATTCACTCATCAGATTAATGAACACCGGCTTGTAGCGCTTTATTTTGTAGATTTTCGACATTGCTAAATTAAATAACAAAAAAAATATAAAAAAAACAGTTTATATGGAATTGATTAAATCAGTATTGTTATTTGAATGTTGCAGGTAACTTTGCGAAATATATCTACCATTAAATAATAGAAAATGTGTAAAGTCTCAGACCTAATCCTAGGTAAAAAACTTCAAAAATCTCTTATTGGTGAATAAATATCTTAATAAAAGAAATAAATAAATAAATTATGAAGGTAGTCAATATAAGAAAATTCAAGAAACTGGTCACATTACGATGCCATAAATAATAAAATTTTATCAATAATTAACATGAGATAAAATAACACTAAATCCTTCGCCTGTTCAAAATGTCTGTCCTACAAAAAGATAAAGAGTGTTTGCTATTATTTCTATTTATATTTTTTATAATTAATGATATATAAGGTTTGTTCTCAGCGAGAGTCCGTCGTATATGTGTGTTATATCCAAGTATACGTACACACCAACAGATAGCCTACACACGGCATCATAGTAAACAACTCTACGAGGGTTCCTCCTGAGCCAGTCATCATCATACAGATGCTCTCCAGCACCGCGGCTGTCAACACATTCACCATCATGAACCAGAAGATCATGTTACGAATTGAACTGGAATGAAACATACATACATACTTACATGGTTAAAGAACATATTAAAATTTAAATTGATCTATTAATTTGTTGCCAATACAATAATTGTAATCAATATAAAATTTCTGTGCAAAAATATTATAAAACGAATAATATTTCATCTATTTATTAACTTATTTGTGGTTAAAAAAAATTGTATCTGTAGTATGAATATTTGTTAGATGTTTTAAATATTGCCTTCACTCATGCAAGTATGAGTATTACCTAAATGCTTTAGATTCCTTTTCGTCTGTTAATTTAAGACACAGTCCTCTTAATATTTTTATCGCCAGCTTGTAAGTTGCATCATAGTCGTCCAAAACGAACTTGTGAACCTGTTATAGTTATATAATATTAGGAATCAACTAACTTCACATATTATTAGTATATCATTTCATTATTTTTGTTCATATCATGCAGGTGTGATATAACATGTTTTTAATAGCAACGGAATAAATAATACCTTCATATGGATCTCTTACCAATAAAAAACGAACCAAAAAAAATCACAGCCTAAAAAATAAAGCATAATACACAAAGATTTTTATGAAACTAATATTTTACGGATATACTACGCGACTCTATTTTTTGATAAAAACTTCATAACCGTAATCACGGGCAGACGAGATGTGAGTGTCTGTCAGTTGGTCTTGTTATTTTATCAACTACCGCCATTAATTTCTTTATTTTCTGTCGTACCGCTCTGGATGCCGGCAGAATGAGCTCACGGTGTCTCGAGGTCCTGCGGTGTGGTCACGGACATGGGATTTTATATTTTTAAGAAGAGGATCCCATGTGCTTGGTAGATTTCAGTCATATTCTCTATTGAAATGGTTTTTTTTTATTTCAATAGGATATAGGCTATTGCTTGCTAAAAAGTAACCAAAACGTCGGGAGTATGTAGTTTTTATCAAAAATAAAGTCGCATAATGTGTCCGCAAAATATTAGTTTCATTTAAATAACTGCCGAAAATCTGAGATCTCAATAATAGTTTTACGTTTATCATCTATAACCTAATAATATAGAATAAATGTGATTATATATAACATTTGCCTGCTTCTTTGGTGACGAAGGTTTTGTTTTATTCAACCGATTATTATGTAAGGCAGACGCCATTTTGAATGATATAATTGTTGGAAAAACTGTTCAGAAATGAAGTTTTATATAAGCAGCGTGAGAAAAGATGTAAAATTCATACACAACCTAACCAATAATTACAGGTTTTTATTCTGTTTGTAAGCTTCAATTATATAAGATTTAAATTATTATTTAAACACTATTTTTCACATAGTATTTTATTATTTGATGCTTATATTTTTTATACTTGAAAAAAGACAATAAAACCTTTTATCAATATATGTATAATAAGGATTCAATACAGTAGAAATAATAATAATAATATTTAAACCTGACACCTAAAAATCCAAAGGCGGAAAAAAGAATTTAATTCAATTTAATTTACAAGTTAAGTCACATATTAGGTAACCAATTAATGTTGAATTGTCAGCAAAGTAAGCGTTGTAGATAACTTTCTTTGTTTGTCTTAAACCTACAGCTTACAAGTGAAAAGGATTTTCGTGGGTTAACATTTTGTACTAGTGATATTTCACACATTTGTATAAGATCTTCTATTTTACTACAAATCCAGGAGTATACATATTTAGTTTTCAATTTATATATATTGCATAGCGTCTACCTATCAACAATATATTTTTGTGTATCTTAAAATCAAAGACCGGTCATTTAGAGTATATACTCGTAACATATACCGCCTTCTTAGATGTCGGATAAAAGCTATTGAAGACTGAATGTTTTTTATTTTTTAAATCTAATTGTTAACGCCTCAGTCTTCATCCATTTTATTATTTATATTGTTTGAACGCTACTGTTGACGCGACTGTATTATTATATGTCCACAATAATTATGTGAATGACAATCACTTGAACATCACTTTCATTTGTATATTATTACTTTGTAGTGTGAAAAATGTTTGTCTTTATTCCATATTTGTTAATATACTTTATAATTTTACCTGTGAGCACGCTACGTAAAGGTGCTCAAGAGAAACACCTTGTTTTTTTAAATGTACTTATGCTTAAAATTTGTTTAAAATTGTTGCACTTGCTTCTTTTAAAAGGAAACTGAAGCCTTTTAAACTGGAATGTCAAATCAGTTGCAATTAGTAGGTTACCGGAATCATAAACAAATGTCGATTTTAATAATTGCCGCATAGTGCCGTTCTCGACAATCGTTGTATAATTTTATATTCATATTAAACAGTAGTGAGACAAAACGTGTACCTAAAACACTGATGTTTTTATATTTCATCTGCTAACGTATCCCTGGTGATAATCGGAAGAGTCTTACTTTTACTTTTACTTATTCTAATTGTTTTTAATTTCCTTTATTGTGCGATCTTCTTCTTCGATTGTTCTCTTGTGGGACATAGTATATATTTTATCCCATAATCAAGCTTATTCTTCTGCTTTCATTACGTTGGCTATTGTTTGTAATTCCAAAAATCATATAAATTTAGTAGTTTTGACGTAAAAGCGTAACAAATAGATAGAGACACGCATTTTTTAATATAAGTTTGAATTATGTGAGTGAACATTTAACTACAATTCATTAATACGGGACTTCTACCATGTTGTTTGATAGTTGGTGATAACGAAGAATGGTGTTTATGGAAGGTTTGTTATAACGGAGTCTTAAAAAAAAAAACATAGAATGCTTAGAATTTATGTATTTGTTTTACAATAATAATTTCATTTATATAAAAAGCTTATTATAACTGTTTAAGGCTTTAAGGATTATGTTCTAAATAATAGGGAACGTTACGGACTTAAATGAGATGACTTTAAACTTTGTACTCAGAATTCTTCACTATGCTAGATGTTTAAGTAAAATTCAAATTTGCTTGTATATTTTTTTATTTCAAACAAATAAGATAATGATTTAAAAGGAATATTGTTATGTATGTAAATGAAGTAGTAATGATGGGTTATTCACCATATCGTGAAAAAACATTTCTGGTTTTTATTATAATTATATTAATAGGTGTAATGTATTTTTTATTTTACCACGGATGATGATAGTCCAACCCGTCTTGAGCAAGTGTGGTGGTTAATGCTCAAACCTTCTCCATGTGAGAAGAGGCTCAGTGGGCTCTGATAGCTCGATGTCGACAATCTAATAGGAAAGTGAATGATGTTTTATTTTGGCTTCACATTAAATTTAATAACAAAGATAGTTTGTCTTAAGAAAATAGTGAATGTTTGTACATACTATTATAAAAATGATTTACATTCAGAATGTGTTGGTGAAGAATGGTTTTGTAAGTTTTATAATCATTGTAAAATATACTGCAGCATAATATATTTTGAAAAGTTTATAAACTAATGACGTCAGGTGTTTTGTGTTAAGTTTGGCACAAAATAATGTGATTGTCTTTGTTAACGTCATCTCGGAGAAAAAACTTTTGTGTTATACATCGAGTTGACAAGTTTATTATTACTGTCGATTGAGATTTAATGATGAGAGAGTATATTATATTATAAAGAACAAAATAAGCCATTAAATATAATTTGAAATAGTCTTCTATTACAACAATAATGATGAAATTTTACAATCGACGTTATCTTCTAAAGAATTTTGAACGTTTTTAGTTCAATAATTTTTTTGCCTCGCCTCGCCTATCTAAAGGCTTCGCTAAATGACACCGTAGTCTATATGGTATGGTACATGAACTTTCTTGGCTTCATCTAAACGTGCAGATTGTACTTAAATAAATTCAGACTTCTCATTCTCCATGTTACCCAATCTTGTATACACTAGAACAAGTTTTGAACCTGGGCAAGAGACCTGGCTTGCATGCTTCCCTTCGTACAAAGCTCCATTCCGTATTCTGCAAAAGTTGGGTGGCCTTAAGGATTGTAATGAGGTACTAAATGATTTCGATCCAGACCTTGATTCTTTTGACAGGCATTCTTACATCGGCTAGTGACCCTGATACTGATCTTGCATGGAGTTTTGTGTAAACCGCTGAGTGAAACAGGATAAGCCCAATAACAAATTTAATTACGTGTCAATCTACCACCTCATACAGACTACAACTGTTAGCCCAAGCCAGACCATTTGTGAACTTCTATAGTATGTATCGTCTTATTATAATATTACTCTAAAATAAAACAAGAGTAGCGGTGTATTTAAAATTAACTGAGACATGACTCAATATTTGGAAAGTGTTTAAGGATATGATAAAATATATGTGCTGTAAAATTACATCAAAAAAATTAAAAAAAAGTAACCAAAAAATTTGTTCTTAAATGAATAAGCCCGCAAGTTCATCAAGTAAACCTTCAGTATCCTGGTTGCCCTAAAATACAAAACAATTTACTTATAAGGAGATTTCAAGAATATATATATATATATATAAAATAAATGAATAACCAATTCTTCTTCTATACAGGATGACTGGTGAATTACTATCGATACTTGAGGACGTGATATATGACGATCATATGTGACAAAATAAAAATTAATATAACATAAATATTAATAAACTTCTAAGTAAAGTTAACCAAAAGTTATGTAATTAATTACGTATCGTGTGAACTCCCTACAGATTAGGTATACACACACACAAACACACGCGTGCGGCGGCGTGGTGTTGTATCAGCACGCCGCCACATGCCTCCACACTTGGAACACTTGGAACGTGTCCACACTTTATTTATTTATACGGAAATTTTTTCAAAAATTAAGTACCTATTTTTTTACATAATTCGAATGAGAATCATGTACCGAGTATTCTCCTTAAATATTGATAGTAATTCACCAGTCACCCTGTATAGTTTTTTTAATTTATCGATTCCTACTATAAATGAGATATAATATCTTTTATTTTTCTGCTCATAACCTATAAAAAAGTTATTTTCTTATAGAATAAAATGGCAGAGAGTTAAAATCATAATGTTGTTTTGAAGGCAGTACTTTATTAATATGATGGTCACGTTTAAATTCACTCCAACCATGATGGAGTTCCCTTATTGCTCATAATTTGCATTAATTTTTTTAAAGTAACAACTTCTATAATTATATATTCTACGAGCCTTCCTATAATGAATATAAAATATGACCCATGTTATGACTTTTATTAAAAGAGTCATGGAAAGGAAAAAACAAAATTTTTAAGAACTTATCTTTATTTTACGTCTACAAGATTAACCAAATTAGCTTTTCTTTTATGCAGTATCTCAAATTACAATATAATTCATTCAATAAATAAAAATAACATGATCATAATATTCCACTATTTCAGTGTGAACAAA